TGGCGCTCCTACACACCCAGGGGGGTGGGGGGGGGGGGGGGGGGGGGGGCGGCATGTCACGCGAAGGCATCTGTTTTCAATGTAATCCAACAATTTCATTGGTGTTGGTTTCTTTCTCCCCACCCGCTGTGAGCTTTCACAGGCCACCTGTCGCCCTCAATTCCCACCATTACTTCAAGCTTCCCTACAAAGGCGTGGTGAAGGCAGCGGTCAGGTTAGGAGTGGCCAGAAGCCAGGTGCAGGGTCAAGGAAGCAGGGAGGTGCCTTTAACAAACCGACCTGAGGACCAGCATTACAAACCGGCCTCAGGACCAGCATCAGGAGCATCAGCCAGCTCTTTTGCCCCAAACCGGCCTCAGGACCAGCATCAGGAGCATCTTCCACCACAAACCGACCTGAGGACCAGCATCAGCAGCATCTGCCGTGAGCCCTTTTGCACCAACCCGGCCACAGGACAAGCATCAGCAGCATCAGCTGCGAGCCCTTTTGCCAGGACCAGCATCAGAAGCATCAGGCGCGAGCCCTTTTGCCCCAGACCGGCCTCAGGACCAGCATCAGGAGCATCAGCTGCGATCGCAGCATCATGAACATTGGCTGTGCGCCCTTTTGCGCCAACCCAATGTCGCATCACCTGCGAGCCCTTTTTTGGGTACCGGCCCCAGGACCAGCCTCAGGACCAGCGCCATGAGAATCAGCTGCGTTTAGGCCAAATCGGCCTCAGGACCAGCATCATGAGCATCAGCTGCGAGCACTCTCCAGTTCGAGGTCTCCTGGGCATTGCCCGGGACCTTAGACCTAGTTTAGGGTTTAGGGTCTACCCTAAACCCTAACCCCTAAACCCTAAACCCTAACCCTCGGGACTGCAGTAGGGTTCTGGGGCTTAGGGGACTATAGGGTTCAAGGATTATACGAAGAAAGCTCAGGAAATCCCTAAAGCTCATGAAGCCCCAACCTTAATTGCGAGAGCCCACAGAGACATGCCAAGCAGCATGGCAGCCCCCCAAACCTCCTATTAGGCGCAAAAACCCCAAGGTTTAGGGTTTAAGGTTTAGGGTTTAGGGTGTAAGGTTTAGGGTTTAGGGTTTAGGGTTTAGGGTTTAGGTTTTAGGGTTTAGGGTTGAGGGTTGAGGGTTGAGGGTTGAGGGTTCAGGGCTTAGGGTTTAGGGTTTAGGGTGAACACCCGAATGTTCGAGCTTAAGCCCTCAAGCTCACCCGACAAGCCCAGTAGCATGGCAGCTCCAGGCGTATCCGAAAGCTCAAGGGCTTGTAATCCTCGAGTGCGGCGACATCAGGCGGAAAAGGGGTTTAGGGTTAGGGGGTTAGGGTCTAGGGTTAGGGTTTGATAGCTCCAACTGTACATGCAAGCCACTCTTCTAAGCCCCCTGAACATCTCAATATGGCTACAATCAGGTTTCAAGGACCGTTATACTTGGGTTAGCAAGTTCCAAGTAAGGGCGTCTGTAGGTTCTAGGCCCATTAGGGTTGTGGCTAAGGGTTGGATACGGTCCGAAGGTTCGTTTGGCATCTTAGGTTTAGGGTTCTGAGTGCACATCTGCGCGCCGGCAATCTGCATAATTTGACCCTAAACCCCATCACAGCCAAATGCCTAAGCCCTCCAAAAGCCCCTAAACCGCAAACCGTAAACCCTAAACCCTAAACCCTAAACCCTGAACCCTGAACCCTCAACCCTCAACCCTCAACCCTCAACCCTCAACCCTCAACCCTAAACCCTAAACCCTAAACCCTAAACCCTAAACCCTAAACCCTACCCATCTGGGGCTCAGGGGTTAAGACTTCGGTGCCTCCACACCAAGGCCATCCTCGGCGTCTGCGAAGCTCCAGTCGTCCTCGGGGACGGAACCCTTAGGGTTTGGGGCTTTGGGGTTTAGGGTTTAGGGTCTAGGGTTGAGGGTTTAGGGTTTGGGGTTTAGGGTTTAGGGTTTAGGGTTGAGGGTTTAGGGTTTAGGGTTTAGGGTTTGGGGTTCAGGGTTTGGGGTCCAGGGCTCAGTCGAAATGAGGGTTGCTCGGACGCTACGAAAGCGTCTCATGGTGGCTGGAGAAGAGGCAGTGACCTAGCCCTAAGCCCCAAACCCTAAACCCTAAACCCGAGTGTGTAGAGCTGGGAGTCCCAGACCCTAGGATCAACACCTGCAGGCTCGAAGGTCCACCGTACTTCTTAGCCCAATTAGAAGTGTAAGGGTTTAGGGTTTAGGGTTTAGGGTTTAGGGTTTAGGGTTTAGGGTTTAGGGTTTAGGGTTTAGGGTTTAGGGTTTAGGGTTTAGGGTTTAGGGTTTAGGGTTTAGGGTTTAGGGTTTAGGGTTTAGGGTTTAGGGTTTACCCACGAAGCCTCCTCCTTCCTTCGCTCCCCTCCTCCTCCACGCGTTCAAGCCTGTAACCTTAAAAGCTACACTAAGTCCTCAACCCTATAAACCCCATAAGCCCTACAAGCCTTCTTAACAACCCAACAAGCCCTATAAACGCCATAAACCCTACAACCCCTCAACATGCTCCGTTCTACTAGAACCCTACAACAATAATAAATACGAAGAACCCTACAAGAAATAAAACATGTAAATCAACATAAAAACCTAGTAATAAGAAGAATTGGAGGAAAAAACAAAACAAAACAAAAACAAAAACAAAAAAACAACAACCGTGGTCTCCTCCTCCATTGGCTCTAAACTCCCCCGCAGCGTGACGGGCTCGCCGCCCGGGCGCTGCGGCGGCAACGTGGCCACCAGCTGGACCTGCGGAGAGACATTTGGTGTTTAGGGTTTAGGGTTTAGGGTTTAGGGTTTAGGGTTTAGGGTTTAGGGTTTAGGGTTTAGGGTTTAGGGTTTAGGGTTTAGGGTTGAGCATCGGTCAGCTCATCATTCTGTCCAAGTTCAGAGCCGTATGCGGAAAACACATAGGGACCTGGGCCGTCTGTGACTTGCTACTCATGGTGTCGACACCCACCTCCACCCGGCCAGTAAAAAAGCATCAGCCGCGAGCCCTTTTGCCCCAAACGGGCAAAAGGACCAGGAGCATCAGACGCAAGGACCGGCATCAGGAGCATCAGCTACGAGCCCTGTTGGCCGAAACCGGCAAGAGGACCGGCATCAGGAGCACCAGCCGCGGGCCCAAACTGGCAAAAGAACCGGCATCAGGAGCATCAGCCACCCCAAACCGGAAAAAGGACCGGCATCAGGAGCATCAGCCGGAAGCCATTTTGCCCCAAACCGCCGGGAAAAGGACCAGCATCAGGAGCATCAGCCGCGAGCCCTTTTGCCCCAGGACCAGCATCAGGAGCATCAGCCGCGAGCCCTTTTGCCCCAAACAGCAAAAGGAGCGGCATCAGCAGCATCAGCCCCGAGCCCTTTTGCCCCAAACCGCAGGACCAGCATCAGCAGCATCAGCCGCCAGCCCTTTTGCCCCAAGCCGACATGAGGACCAGCATCAGGAGCATCAGCCGGGAGCCCTTTTGCCCCAAACCGGGAAAAGGACCAGCATCAGGAGCATCAGCCGCGAGCCCTTTTGCCCCAGGACCAGCATCAGGAGCATCAGCCGCGAGCCCTTTTGCCCCAAACAGCAAAAGGAGCGGCATCAGCAGCATCAGCCCCCCTTTTGCCCCAAACCGCAGGACCAGCATCAGCAGCATCAGCCGCCAGCCCTTTTGCCCCAAGCCGACATGAGGACCAGCATCAGGAGCATCAGCCGGGAGCCCTTTTGCCCCAAATAGGGAAAAGGACCAGCATCAGGAGCATCAGCCGCGAGCCCTTTTGCCCCAGGACCAGCATCAGGAGCATCAGCCGCGAGCCGCAGGACCAGCATCAGCAGCATCAGCCGCCAGCCCTTCGACATGAGGACCAGCATCAGGAGCATCAGCCGGGAGCCCTTTTGCCCAAACCGGGAAAAGGACCAGCATCAGGAGCATCAGCCGCGAGCCCTTTTGCCCCAGGACCAGCATCAGGAGCATCAGCCGCGAGCCCTTTTGCCCCAAACAGCAAAAGGAGCGGCATCAGCAGCATCAGCCCCGAGCCCTTTTGCCCCAAACCGCAGGACCAGCATCAGCAGCATCAGCCGCCAGCCCTTTTGCCCCAAGCCGACATGAGGACCAGCATCAGGAGCATCAGCCGGGAGCCCTTTTGCCCCAAACCGGGAAAAGGACCAGCATCAGGAGCATCAGCCGCGAGCCCTTTTGCCCCAGGACCAGCATCAGGAGCATCAGCCGCGAGCCCTTTTGCCCCAGGACCGGCATCAGCAGCATCAGCCGCGAGCCCTTTTGCGCCAAACAGGCCTCGGGACCAGCATCAGAAGCATCAGCCGAGAGCCTTTTTGCACCAAACCCGCCTCAAGCCAGAAGCCTTTTTGAGAATCATCAGCCGCAGCCGTGAAACCCTTACCCCATGCATGAAAAACCCAGGTCTCAACACTTCAATCCTTCACCCTCCTAAGCCTAGTCTGCCCAAGAGTATCCTAGTAAATGGTACCAGAAAGGGTACGTTTGAAAAAAACAGGGAGCATGAGGGCCTTGTCTGGGTCCTAGAAGTTGAATCTAACCCCAAGCCCCTTGTCAGAAAGGTTATAGGGTTGAGGGCTTAGGACTGACGGTGGCCTGTTGCCATTCCAAACCCTCAAACCAACCATACCAAAGCGTCTAAGCAAGGGTTTAGTGCTAGCCCCCTACCTCATTTCGTAAACGGCAGAAGCCAAACCCTGAACTACATCCTGAACCCTAAACCCTCGAATCAGCACCCCATGGGCCTGCCCTAAGAGAAGTTGACAGTTGAGGGGGTATACTGAAACTACAGTTTACCTTTTTGGGTTTAGTGTTCAGGGCTTCTGCCTTAGGGTTTAGGGCCATCAAAAAGCGGAAGCCCTCAACCCTAAACCCTAAACCCATAAACCTATAAACCCCGCGATATTCTTCTTGCAAAGGCCCGAAGCCGCATGCGTTGGGGTGCCTGCGCCTGCTCCAGCTGCGGTCTGTCCACGTCCTGCCCGACGCTTTGTGGGTTTCTCCAAGTCTGTCTTGTTTAGGGGGTTGTAGGGTTGTAGGGTTTTAGGGTTTTAGGGTTTTTGGGCTTTGGGGCCTTGGGGTTTTTAATTTTGGGGGGTTAGTGCTTGTAGGGTTTGGGGGTTCAGGGCTTAGGGGTTTCAGGTTTAGGGCTTTGGGGTTTAGGCTTGTCGGTTGTGAGGCTTTCGGTTTAGTTTTGGGGTTAATAATATATTTCATTAACTTAGGATAATATTCACATGCTTTGTTGCTATTTGGTGGTTTTGCTTTGGTTTTTTTTTGGCTTTGGGTTCATGGAGATTTGGCCTTGGGCCAAGGAGCTAAAGAGATCTTCAACATGGCCTTTGGGCATACCTTCAAAAGAAATTAAGGGGTATGGTAAAGATATACTCTCTTTGAAAGGTTAAGGGTATGTTTTTTGGGAATCCTAAACCCAAACCCTAAACCCTAAACCCCGGACCCTAAACCCTAAACACTAAGAAAGGACAGAATCCGACCGTCCTGCCAATGCTGCACCTCCGCATCGTAGTCACGGACCTCTGGCTTCACAAGGTTCAAAGCCTCTAAATGCCCGGCTACTAGACCCAGGAGAGGGTTTAGAGTTTAGGGGTCAGGATTTAGGGTTTAGGGTTTAAGGTTTAGGGTTTAGGGTTTAGGGCAAGACCCAAGAGCAACCTAGGAATAGAAAGGGCGACCGTTGTGGCTTGAAAAGGGGGCTATACGGGAACCTAAACCCTAAAACAAGGGTGGGTACCAAACAATGTACTGCCCTGAAATAACTTAGGGAATACCCTGAACAGCCTAATCAAATGATGCCCTAAACACTCTAATCCTCTCGATACCCTAGATACCCTAAACACCCAAACACCCTAGACCCTCGAAATACCCTAAACCCGAAATACCCCCAAACCCTACAGAAGCCCAACCTCCCCCCAAGCCATAACACCCCACCCCGAAATCATATGAACCCGAAATTTAGGGTTTAGGGTTTAGGGTTTAGGGTTTAGGGTTTCAGAACCCTACAGAGCCTCGATGTAACCCCTGAAGACCTGCATTTGGAAAGCCGGAGGTCGGCGTCCACCCGGTGGTTGACCATGGCTGAGAACAGAAAGCTCAAGCCTCTGGGGAGAGTAGAGGGGATTACAGATTGTAGGGTTTAGGGGTTTAGGGTTTGGGGTTTGGGGTGTAGGGTTTAGGGTTTAGGAGGGTTTAGGGTTCAGGGTTTAGGGTTCAGGGGTTGGGGAGAGTAGAGGGGATTGCAGATTGTAGGGTTTAGGGATCTTGGGGTTTTGAGGTCCAGGGGTTTGGATTTGGGGAGCGCAGAGGGGGGTTACGGATTGTAGGGTTTAGGCATCGGGTGGCTTCAAAAATTGAGTTGTTGGGCCTATGCAGCTATACGCTTTACAGGGGCTTTGGTTTGACGGGTCTAGAAGGCTGGGAGGTTTTCAGGGTGGCATGGGGGGGGGCGAGGAGTTAAGGGCTCAACGCAAGCGAACGGATGCAATTGATGCAATTGCTTCGAAGAACCCCCTGAGCCCTAAACCCAGATGGCGATCAATCCGACAATCCAAGCCCGAACATGGCGCATCACGCTTGAAGGATCCTAGATTTCCGCGTTTGGGGTTGAAGGCTTGTCAGAGAGAGGGGGAGGGGAGGGAGGGAGGGAGGGAAGGAGGAGGGGAGGGAGGAGGGATGGAGGGAGGGCTAGGTAGAGGGAAGGAGAGCATCGAGCGAAGACATTTCCTGGATCACCATCCCTAGCCCCTCTACGCGGGTTCCACCGTTCAGCACGGCCTACAGAAAGCTAGTCAAGGCAGTCTCAATGGAATCTCTGTAGAGAGCATGAGTTCTAGCACACCCTCAACCCTGAGCCCTGAACATCAAGAACTCCAAACGGGGGGTTTCGGAAAGTAGGGCTACCTTCTTGGGGGGTCCTTATTGGGGAATCCTACGATTTGGGGGTCTATATTCGGGGTCCCCGATGTTCGTAAACCCCCCAAATATGCAGAAAGACTTCCAAGGAGGACAGGGAGCCCACCAGGAGAGCCAGCACGCCCATGCAGACAGTCGCCACAAATGGCAGGTTTGGGGCACGCTTCGTGGGATACCTTAAGGGCCGGAATCTCAGAGGGCTCGGTTTTGGGGTGGAGGGTTCGGCGTTTGTGGGATTTCGGGGGGCTGAGGGCGGGGGGGGTTTAGGGTGATTGGCGCCCAAAGTGTATTCAACAAGACATTCACGAACATGCCAAGACGCGGCTGGTCTCAACTCTGTTCCTAAACCAAGACGCCCTTCTGGCGAAAGTGGAACAAAATGCCCCTAAACTCTAAACCCTAAACCCTAAACCCTAAACCCCAAACCCCAAACCCCAAACCCCAGAGCAGGCAAGATGCCACCGCCTTCTCTCAAAGTGCGGGTGCTCCTCAGAGTCATAGTTCTGTGCAGCGACGATGGCGGCCACCGTGGCCATGGGACCCTGGGGGCTCGTAGGGCGCCTGTACATCTACCAAAGAGACCCCGCCGCAAGCTTGAGAGGTCAGAACAGAAGGGGGTTTAGGGTTTAGGGTTTAGGGTTTAGGGTTTAGGGTTTAGGGTTTAGGGTTTAGGGTTTAGGGTTTAGGGTTTAGGGTTTAGGGTTTAGGGTTTAGGGTTTAGGGTTAGGGCTTGGATCATGGCTACTTCGAAACCTATCTCCCAAGTAGAACGATACTAGGGGACTGTAGACTTGGGGGTCTGGCAATGGCTCCAATTTCCCTAAGTCAACCCCAGTATGGGTTGCAAGCACCCAGGAGCTCTAAGCAGGGCCCCGAAACCCTAAACCCTAAACCCTAAATCCTAAACCCTAAACCCTAAATCCTGAACCCTAAACCCGAAACCCTAAACACCCCAACCCCTATGCCCTGAAACCTAAACTAACCGCGAACCCGAGTCCTACATTGCGCGAGGACGGCGCCAGAAGGGCTCCCCCGAACTCAGCGTAAACAACTTCAACCTTAAACCCTGAACCCTGAACCCTAAACCCTAAACCCTAAACTCTCAACCCGAAAACCTAAACCCCCAACGTTGAACCCTCAATCTCTCTTGCACTAACTCCGGTCTGGAGCCCAAGCCTATGTATGAAGCCACTCCTCCTGCCGTTCTAGGAGTGTAGAGTTTAGGTTTAGGGTTCCCTTGAAGTTTTTAGGGTTTAGGGTTTAGGCTGGAGTTTAGGAAGTAGGGAATAGGCAGGAAATGAAAGACAACGACTTGAACCTCAGGAACCTCAAACCCTAAAACAAATCCTCAATGCCTCACCCTAAACCCTAAACCCTGAACACCAAACCCCTAAATCCGAAACCCTCACCCTAAACCTCTAAATACCCTAAACCCTTAGCCCTTAACCCTAAACTCCCCCCAAACCTTAAGCCCTAAACCTTATATAAACCCTAAAACGAAAGACATGCCTGTTGAGCTGTAGGTCTTGCGAAGGGTTGGGAGACAAGGCTCGGGATAAGCTGGGTTCGACGTTGAGGACTCTGAGAAAGCAGCGTTCCCCGCGATGAAGCACATGATGATGTTGGTGAAGACCTGCTGATTCCAGAGGCCCCCTATGGTCCGGAGGCAGGGTATTAGGGTTCATGGTTTAAGGTTCAGGGCTTAGGGTTTAGAGTTTAGGAACCCTAAGCCCTAAACCCTAAACCCTAAACCCAAAACCCTAAACCGTAAACCCTAAACCCTAAACCTTGTTGGAGGCTTTTGAGTGAGTAAACCCCGAAACCTCGAACGCTAACCCGGGTTTTTTCCCTAGCGGCTAATGAGCGAAGAGCCAGGCACCCCGGCTCTTCCACTCCGGATCTTCGTTTAGGGGTCTAGGGTTTAGGGTTTAGGGTTTAGGGTTTAGGGTTTAGGGTTTAGGGTTTAGGGTTTAGGGTTTAGGGTTTAGGGTTTAGGGTTTAGGGCTTAGGGTTTAGGGTTTACTTCTTGTGACGGCTCCGTGCTGAAACTCGCACTTTGCAACTTGGAGGATCGGGTCACCTAGTAAGTAGGGTTCTAAGTACCTTAATTGGCCTCATAAGCAATTACAAGCAATAGTTACCTTACTTGTAACCCCACTTCCTAAGTCCCCTGATCCTTTAAGTACACGTTGTCAGGCTCCTCAAGAGGACCCCATTCCAGCGCCCTCAGATCGGGTGCGTCCCACTGACATGTGTGTTGGATAACACTATAGGGTTCTTAGGGTTTAGGGTTCAGGGTTTAGGGTTTAGGGTTTAGAGTTTAGGGTTTAGGCTTAGGCTTAGGCTCAGGCTTCAAAGGCTTTCTTCACAGGGTTCTCAAGCCAGGCAGGGTGATTCCCGCGGGGTTTGTATCCCAAGGTTCTCTCCCTTCAGGAGCGCGGCACCCTGTCGCGCTGTGGACTGCTTGGGCTTTACGGGTTCAAGAATGGTCGGCACAAGACGGGCCTATGCCCATAAGCCATTCTACGGAAAGCCCCATCCATCCTAAGCCTTACACCCTCAACCCCAACCCAACCCTCCAAGCGTAACCCTACAGACCCTAAACCCTAAACCCTCAGCGCTAAACCCTCAACCCTAAAGCCTGAACCCTATACCCCCTAAACCCCTAAAGCCCTAAACCCTGAACCCTAACCTCTCAGCCCTAAAAGCCTCGACCCACAAAAAAACCTAAGCCAGAAACCCAAAACCCCTAAGCCCTAAACCCTAAATCCTAAACCCTAAACCCTAAACCCTAAACCCTAAACCCCTACAGCCCCAAGAGAGAACCTGATTCCTTAAAGACGGGAAAAAGATCGAGGGAGCTCATGGTTTGGGGCTTGGGGTTTAGGGTTTAGGCGTTGGGGTTTGGGGTTAGAGGTTAGGGGTTTAGGGTTTAGGGTTTGGGGTTCGGGGTTTCGGGGTCCTGGACCCTAAAACCCTATAGCTAAACCCGAAAACCCCAATCCTGAACTTAGGTCAGCCTCTAAATCCCCAAAAGGCCCTGTTCCTAAACCCTAAAACCCCCAAAACCCCCCAAAACCCGACAACCCGAAAACCCTAAACACCGACTCTTAGAAAGCCTAAACCCTGAATCCTAAAAGCCCTGTCCTACACCCTCAAACCCCTGAAAACCCCGAAAATCCGAAAACCCTAAACACCGACTCTTAAACCGGAATCCTAAAAAGCCCTGTCCTAAACCCGAAAACTCGAAAACCCCAAAACCCGAAAACCCGAACACCCTGTTACTAAACCCCAAACCCTAAACCCTAAACCCTAAACCCTAAACCCTAAATCCTAAATCCTAAACCCTAAACACCGACTCCTCGAGCCCTTTTTGGGGTCCTCGTTGGTGGCGATGGTCCGAAGAAGACGCACCTGGACCCGAGGCGTCAAAAGTGGGAGGGCAACCCAGAGACTCCAAAACCCCATAACTAAGGAATATTGCTTAAATGATAATAGGAACCCTAAACCCTAAACCCTAAACCCTAAAATGCTTTAAGGTATATTCCTTAATTGAGGGGTTTTGGAGCTTCTGGAACCCGGGCGCCGGCCCAACTTCCCAACTGTCTTCAAGTAGTGCCTGGTTTTTAATGTAGGGGTCGGACTAATTACTAGTAGTACTCCCTTATGGTCCCTTGATATTTATACTACAATAGCCCCCAAAACCCTACTCTAATTATTAAGGCGCCTGGTTTAGAGCAATTTAGGGCTTAGGGTTTAGGGAGGAACCGAACCGTGAACCGACGAATCCGGGTCAAGTGAACCGAAACCTCGCGAACCGCAACTCACAGACCGAACCAGGAACCGGAACGGAATACAAAAGCGAGTTTAGGGTTTAGGGTTTTGGGTTCCAGGTTTAGGGTTTAGGGTTTAGGTTTTAGGGTTTAGGGTCTAGGGTTTGTTTTCGGCTCATGAAATACGTGGGGGCCGGGCAGGGGGCCAGGAGGAGGCCAGGCCGGTTAACTTCGGGCCGCGGGTTCCACTCCACCTTCTTCCCCCCCTCTCCCGCATGGCATTTTCGTGGGCCAAGAGTTCAACCTTCCCCCCCCCTCCCCCGCCCCCCCCCCTCCTACCCCTCACCAAAAGTTCGACCGTGCAACTTTGAAACTAACCCCCCGCTGTCACCCGTCGTCGATCATTCTTGGCTCCACCATCTTTCAATGCACACGACATCTCAACTGTTCGCATCCAACCTCTACGAACCGCGCGAGCCGATGAACCGAACCGGCGAACCGCATACTGGAAACCGAACCGAAGAACCGAACCGCTCGTTACGAAACCGAAGCCGAACCGAACCGAGCCGGCCCCGCCCTGGGTTTCGGGCATTCCTGAACCGTAAAACCCTAAACCCCAGAACCCCGACCCCCCCCCCCCCCGAAGCCCCGAAGCCCTGAAGCCCCTGAAGCCTGAAACCTGAATCCTTCCGAGGGCCAGGCCAGGGCCACATCCCACCAGGGCGCCTCTCTCTAAGGTTCCATGTTATACGGCCCTTAATTTGGGCCCCTTGTTCTACAGCCCTTGTACAGCCCATACATAATAAAAGGGCCCATACTTCGGATCCCTATCAACAAGGGGCGCTAAGGGCCCATAGACACTCTCTTCCCCAGTGGCTCGTGGTTTAGGGGTTAGAGGGGCTCAGAGGGACTTAGGACAGGTAGGAATAGTTTTTCTCTTCGAGTCTGAGATGCATAAGTTTGGGGTTTAGGGGCTTGGGGTTTAGAGGGTTTGGGCGGAGGGGGGGGGGGGGGGGGAGGGGGGCTTGATAGGGTTTGTAAACCTCGCAATCTTCGGGCCTCAAAGGGGTTTCAGGCTTTTGGCTCCAAGCTTTCGGGCGTGGAGGGCTTGGGTTGGGGGGCTCCCAGGTTGTAGGGTTTAGGGACTTAGGGGTTTGGAGGTTTAGGGGTTTAGGGGCTTAGGGGTTCAGGGACTTCGGGGTGTAGGGGTTTAGGGGCTTAGGGGTTTAGGGCTTAGTTTTTTTTACTCGTGGTCATGATGCTGGCCCTGAGGCTGGCGGTGGTGTTTTCTTTGAGTCCTTAAACCCTAAGCCCTAAACCCTAAACCCCAAGTCAGCTTGTCTTAGTTCAGGGTCTTGATTCTAAACCCTAAACCCTACACCCTACACCATAAACCCTAAACCCTAAACCCTTAACCCTTATAAACCCTAAAAAAAGGTTCTTGAAGATCTTGACATCGCAGCTGGGTACGTTCAGAAGGAACCTCAGGAGCTCGAGGCCCAAACCCAGAGCTCTCTCTTCTGGGGGGGGGGGGTTTAGGGTTTAGGGTTTAGGGTTTAGGGTTTAGGGTTTAGGGTTTAGGGTTTAGGGCTTAGGGTTTAGGGTTTAGGGTTTAGGGTTTAGGGTTTAGGGTTTAGGGTTTAGGGTTTAGCGTTTAGGGGTTAGGGGTTAGGGGTTAGGGGTTAGGGTTTAGGATTTAGGGGTTGTAGGGTCAGCCGTTTTAAGTAGGACTTAGGTTCTATGGGTTGTAGGGTGCATAGGGGTTGATGGGGTTTATAGGGTTCATAGGGCTTATG